AATTATCTTCGAAGGGAAAATGTGAAGTGACTTTTTTTCATATCATTTTCGTTTTATTATTTAGCTAATCTATTTTAATGAACCACAAAATTATTTATCATGCAAAATGATGAAACTCTTTTTTTCGTTGATAATCTTGAAATTTCCGTTCAGTAAATAAAGGTTGGGAGTAAAAGCACAAGATTGGAAAGAAAAGTTTTGTTGCTCTTTTTTTCAACTAAAATGACAAGTTAAAGTTGCTTTTTGTTTTCGTCTTTAAAAGATTAGGAAATTTTCAGGCAAAAACAACCAAAAAGGTGAAGCATTTTAAGATATAATTATGATGAATGGTAAATTCATCATAAACGTTTTCCTAAACTTTTATAATGAACTGTTCAAGATTAGCATTGCATCTGTTAATGGGTAAATGCATTGGTTGATTGTTGTTGGGTGAAAATTGTTTTCCAAAAAATTGAAAAGTAATTCAGATTAAATATTCAGACCAGACATGTTTTCACGATAAGAATCGGATTAGTTGTGAAATTCGCTCAGATTGATGCAACTTTTTCCTTGACCTTCTTATTTCATGTAGCCTTTTCCATGAAAAAGGATCAGCAATCTTCCGGGATTAAAGACTTGACTTGTTGATTAGAACAAATAATTTATTGAAAAATTCGATTCCAGATAAATTCGGTAAAAGCTGCAATTTTCTCATCTTAAACAATCCTGAAACAATGGATAAGAAACAAACAACAATTTCACTTGTTTTCTTGAAAAAAACTTAAAATTCTTGACTCGAACTGACTCGAAGATATCGAATTGGGTCATCAAAAATTTCCAAATTTAAACGTTTTTTCCACTCGGTTATTCTGATGTCCTGCATAACCATCATACAATTATTAATAGTTGTAATCGGCGTCATTTGGTGACAAAACTAAACAATGTCTTATTTGTTGGTTGAATTCAGTACAATCAAGATTGATTGAATTTGGATAATAATCAAATGAAAGAAATCGAAAGAATGTCCAAAATGTTTTAGGACAACTCTACTTGAACTTTTTTCTGCAGAACTATTTAGCTCTTTGATGGTTCGATTAATATCGAATCAAACTTGGTGAACGAAGTCTGCTAGATGACAGCAAAAACATTAAATAGTTCATTGTACCCAACTTGTCTGAGCTTAAGTTTAGTTTAATTTGTCAAATCTGTTTAATAAATCAAGATAAATGTATAAATTGTCTCGGACTTTGTCGGTCATTTCATTGTATCTTTCATATACAATAAACTTGCACATAATTGAAAGGGTTTGGTTTGTTATTGAAGTCTGATAAACTAATGAGATGACAATGAATGAAAATGAATGACTCAACTCGAGTTAAGTGATTTGTTATGAACCATCAATTATCAATCTTGTCTGCATTGGCATTCAGGATTCTTTAGTTGGTGAAACTCTATTAAAACTTATAGTGTCCGAATAATCTGTAGACAAGAATTTTTCGACTTTCGTTTGTGACAAATTTTTTTATCAAAATTCTTGCTAATCTTGTCATGACAACTCAAGGGTTAAGCAATTAACATTTTCAGAGTGAAAACAATAGACTTAACTAAAGTAAAACTAAATATGAATACCAAATATCAGCCAACAATGGATAAAAGTGAAGGAAAAAAATATGAATCTCAACAGTTGATGAATAATAAATTTAAGGAAATGGCATTTTCGAAGGTTTCAAGATGTTGACTTAAACTTTACTCGATTTCCTGACGTTTAAAGGAAAGACAACTCCAACAGTCAATTATAATCATTTAAATCTCTTTAAATTACTCCCAGTTAATGCTTGACATGCACATTTCCTCTTCCTCTTTTCACTCAACTAAAGTGAAGACAAAAGTTAAAAGCTGAAAAATGTTGTTCAATATTTTCCATCAACTTCAATTTTCCTCTCTTCTTCTGTTTCTATTGATTAGAGATTTTATTTTCAAAAAATGAACTAATAATGTTCAGTTGAAATTACTGGATAATCTTATCATGAAAGTACCTGTTTCCCTGATCTGCTCATTCCGTTTACTCTACTATTTACCGTATTTACTGAGAAACAGAATACCAAACAAATTTAGTCTAATGTTTCACTGATCTCTTCTTCATTCCCAGTGAAGCTTTACCAGAAAAGTAAAGTACATTATCGAATAATATTTTTGGTGGAAAAAATTGATTACATTAAATCTAAACATTATGATCAACATGGTGATAACCTTGATGAGTAAACTTGATTTGATTCTGATAAAAGTTTCATTTCTATTTGCGCAAAGAAACTGATCGACTTACATTGTTTAGTGAACACAAGTCTATGCAAATAAAAAGATTGCCTTTTCTTATTTGAATAACATTAAAAGCTGTAAGCTGTACAATTACCTTGGACCTTACAATTTAATCTAATTTGAATGAAGCAAAGATTGAAAGCAAGCCGATTAGAAAATAATATCAAATGTTAACAGAAAATTAAATGTCATTTTTGTCCATATCGTCCAACATCGAGACAACATTTAATGTTAATGAACACCTGTAAATAACATTAATCATTAAAACAAATGTATTCTTGAAAAGGTAAACCTGAGTAGACAAGAATGTTTCCCTGATAACATGATAGACAGAATTTTGGCAAAAAAAAGAAGAATAAGAAATGAAATGAACTCGAGACTATCTAATTGCTTTTCGCATTCCTAAGCTACAAAATTTACCTCAATACCATTTGGTATCAAGTAACCCTTAATGATAATATCCATTTGTATGTAGATTTAAATGTTGAGGATAACGGTTCGATATTACTGCGAGTTAAAGCCTTTGCTTTGTTCAGAAATATTCAGATAATCATACTTAACCATGAATATGTTTATTCAGAGAAGAGAGAAGAAAAAAACGAAAAGATGAAACCAAATAAGAATGAAATAAGAAGAGTAAGACACGGGAAAATCAAACCAAATAACCAATTCTTTTCCAATTTTCTTCTCTTCACCATAATCTTGGACATGATGGAACTCGGAGAAAATGAGAAAATTTTGCGGTAAAAAGAGCTTCTTCTTCTCATATTCAGATTATTATCGTTTCCAAGTCTTTCCTTTACTCTCATGAATCATTTATATTTAAACGATTATCCTTCATCATCATTGTAACCATTCCATGTTTACCTACCAATGTTAGCCAATGATGATGCTGGAATTGCATTAAACATTTGAACAGTAAGTTTGATTACCTGGTTAACGACTTTCGATTGGAATTTTTTTTGCTTTTCTCTTTTGTTTCTTCTTCTTCTCTTTTCTGTACAATTCATTAAATCTTTCATCTTTCTTATTAAAGGGTTAAAATTTGTTTGCCATCAACAATATTTATTACACTTGTTAGCATAATGAGGCGACAAATGAATCAACAGAATCAACCACAAAATCGATTCATCAATTAGATTTAATTGTTGCAATCGTTTTAGCTGATTGAATTATTCATGTTAACTGAATAAAGATTGGAAGCTGTCATTGACTAGTCACTGAACCACTCAACAATATTGAATAAAAATTAATGTAACTCAAGCCCAATGAACATAAAAAATTTTTTGAGTAACCGTTTAATTCATATTTACTGAAAAATTTTCGGAAATTTTTGTGGAATCTTTTTTTACTTCTTTTTTATCATTTAAAACAAATTATTCACATAATTGTGAATCATACAAATTTTTAGTAAATTTTGGTTAAAAAACTACTTACAAATCATAAATTATGATTCAGGCTGGCAAAAATCAAATCTTGAAATGTAGATTTGAGAAAACAAAAAGATGTTACAAAAATAAAAAAACAAGACCTTTGACAAAGTGAATTTAAGTAGAGAATCTCCGTATTTTAAATAAGAATCTTTTATTCAAGAATCAAAAATTTGAGATTTGAGCACTCAATCATGTGGAAAGTTTATCTGAATAGAAAAGCTAGAATCATAGAGAATTGCAGCAGAATCAAACACTGGAGATTCATCAAAACTTAACCACTTGCAATTTTATTCAGAACTTTAATTATTGTAGACTTTATTGATAGCTACATTAATCTTAGTTCTCTCTTTGTAGCCGAGTGGTTTAGAGGACAGTACAGTGCCATGTAGATCCTGGGTTCAAAACCCGATAAAGTCAGGTAAATTTAATGTTGATGACGTCACTACATCTTTGATGATTCTTGACCTTAAGAATCTCGAATGTGGAATCTTAAATTTTTCATACGACTTGAGAGTCTTGTAGTCTTAAAATTCTTTAGAATCACAGGAAAAAAGTTAATATAAATTGAATCGAATTTTACTCAAAAAGTAGTGTTTACTCAAATAAGAGTAAATTGTCCACTACGGAACGTTTTTCGACTCTTTTTTGAGTAAACAGTGTTCATTGGGAGGGAATTGATCAGTTAGTAGGGAAAAAAATGAACAATTTACGCCAAAAGTGGAATTAAAATTATCCATTTTTGACAGTTGGGGAAACTGTTGAAGGCAATAACAGCTATGATCGATAACCACTTGAGTTAGTTTGTCATTGAGTCAAATTTATTCAACAAATTATCATTCAATCAACTGAGCAACTTTCATTTTCCCTCTTTTCCACTTTAATGAAATGATCAACTGTGATGATATTTAATCAGTTGCCAGTTTCGAATAATGAAATTTTCTTTCTTTTCGTCCACAAAATTTTCCTTCTTTTTCATCCTTTCATGATGATTCTTTATAAGGTATCATTTATCTTGAATCAAAATTGAATTGACAAAAAATGTTAATTAAATGTTATCCCATAATCGCATGTTTCACAATTCAGAGTCGATTGAAATTCAAGACTCATAATCTGATTATTTTATTGCATTTTCCGTTTCTCATTCTTCGTTTCTTGATAATGATATCAATAAGTTGACGTTGATGTCACTTTATTTTTGATTTCTTCGCCTTTTTTTCGTCAAATACAATTTTGTAAATTGATTTATTGGTAAATGATGAATTTATTTTATTTTGCTTTTTGTTTATAATTTAAATTTTATACAAATGCTTTTTTCAGTTTCCTTTACACAACAAGTTTTATCAAATTTTCACTCCCAGTTGTTGGGCACTCTGGGTGATTTATAGTCTTTGTATTTGGAGTAAAATAATGATGACAAAATTATCAGATTCTTTGTCCATAATTTGAAGAGAAATGTTCAAAAGGAAAACTTTTCAAGTTGGATTTTTATTTTTCAAATGCTGACCCAAAGAGCAATATTAACAAGGCTTTTCCAAGCAAGTGAAAAGTGAAAATAGTTTTTGATATTTTAATTATAAACTGAGTTTTAAAGATTCAATGTCTTTCAAGGTGAGGATAAATGTCGAGTTTTTGAAACATTTCATGAGTTTTGAAGTTTTAAGATTTGAAGATTTTCAGTTATTCTGAAGGTTCGTTTGTTGTGTGAAATTTTCGAAGATTTTCAAGAGATTTTGCAATAATCTTTTTTGAACTGGTTTGGTGCTTCCGAGTGTGACTCTGTGCTTTGGAACTAAAAGTTGCGGAAAACAAAACTTTTACCATAAATGTAGGGATTTACACATGAATTGGAAACGGCAAACATGAAGAGGATCGCCTGAAGGTTTTCATTGATTTGACGAGCTGAATTGGGATCAATTTGATACCAGATTACGGCAATTACGTAGGGAGACCAGCAAATGATGAAGGCTAATATAATTATGAAAGCTTCTTTAAGAACTCGAGATTGAATTTTTTGACGTTTCGCTGTTAAACTTGATTCCGGAGCAGGTAAAATCTCGAGAGACTCTGTTTCCCGAGTGTAACTTGCAGTGGATCGATGAGGTTGCTGGTAATGATGATGTGACTGAGTAACATGATTATGGTTTAAAGATGATGAAGATGAAGATGAGGCTGGCTCAATGGAAGACAAGTTGTTCCAACAATCATCGAGAGCAGCTAAGAAAGGAAGAAAAAGAAACAAGAAAAAGTCGGATAAAAATAACACGAAAATTGAACATGATTAGTTAACTGTCAGATGAGTAAATAAAAATGAGTGCAGCTTGACCCGTCAAGTCAACTTGAAACAACTCATCTCTCATTGATTCATGACACTTCACGATTATCCTTCATGTTGGTTGATAGACTGAAGCATTGCTCAACACTAATCAATAAACTTATTTATTTACAATGAAAATGTTGAAAAAAAGGAAAACATGAAAACTCGATTTTGAATAAAGTTGTAATTTTGAAATCAATTCATTGTTGCCATTATTTTTACTTGTGTGTTGAAATGAAAATTCAATAAAAATAATTGTTTCTTCCTGTGATGCATTCATTAATCAAAAACTAATTATTCTCATTGCAAGTTTATCCTGGTGTTAATTAAATGAATTGAGGTGAGAATAATGTAAATCCATGAGAAAGACCAGTTCAAAGTTTCGATTGTGTTGAGAGAAGAAAAAGTTTTTCTTCTTTTTCTTTTTCTTCTGCTCATCATTTTCACCATTTCACCATATTAACATCATTTTTGTTCATTTGTTGTCCAAGTTGACATAATGCAAGTAAATGTATCATACTTTAATTCGCGCTCAATGAAAAGGTACAATAGACACCTGAACAAAAGGGTTAAATTTATCTGAATGACAACAAAACAAAACTTTCATCCCATTATTGAGCTTTCTTTATTGTTCATTGTTAACCAACAAAAAGAAGTAAAGACATTTTACTCAGTTCAACTGCTAGCATTACTTGGAGTAAACTTTTTTCTTCCTCTTCTTCCTCACAATTCCCAAGTCAAATGGATTCCATGCTTTTACATGTTGACTTTGAAACTGAATCGACTTTACTCATCATGCTAATAAAAAGAAAAGAAATATGAAAATGTTCCAAATGGAAGAATCTAACTGGCTGAATGGAAAATCAAGATTAAACATAAATTTCAGGATCAACTTTCTATCGGCACTTTACACAGAGTTTTTGACTAAATTTTTCCAAAGACTGAACTTTTTTTCTCTAAAAAATTCTGAAAATCAGATTCAATCAATTTTTCGATTTCCGAATCCATTGAAATACGCTTTGATGAATCGAACCGGAACTTGTTCTTCCTAAACGACATTCGAACTTGATGCTTTCTGATTTCAGATAAACTTGCATAGAATAGTGTTCCATGATTGATTCACACTGATAGAAGTTCATTGTTTACATTTATTCACTGTGAATCTCTAATGAATTGCAATTGATGAGTTTCTTTTTTTCTATTGAAATTCATTTTCAGCTTAATGAGGATCAAATAAAGTTAATCTTCAATGAATAGAATTCTGAAAGGAAAAAAATGTCGAAATGATTGAATGAAATTAATTTCTGAAATGAACAAATTCTCACCTTTAACATTACCAAGGCATCTTGAGTTGGCAAATAGTTTAATGCAGATTCCAGTGTAACAAATGATTATTATGAGCAACGGGATAACGTAGACGACGCAAAGGCTGAAAATGTTGTACAACTTTCGATGCCATTCCTCACCGAAAGAATGAAAATCGACGCACTGATAATAATTGTTCAGTTCAGGATGAGCTTGTACATTGAATAGCACCATCTGTCAATGAAAGAAAAGAATTCAAATTAACTTCGTTTCTAATTAAAATGAACATTAATCATTTTCCATGAGAATAATGAATTGAAATGTTGCTCAATTTACAAGTTTTCAATGAAAAGAAACCAAACAACTGAACCAGAATTGCATCAGAATTCATTGATAAAGGCTTTTGTCGAAAGAATCATTTGAAATGATTCAATAATTAAACTGAAACTCGAAAGACAAAAGTTTCGACAAAATTTCATTCTAATTACGTTGGTCAGTTTAATCTCTGCTAACCTTTACAGAATAATTACAAAAACATAATTAATATCAAATGATTGAATTTTGATAACTTTTTGATTGAGTTTCAAGTTTCAAAACTCTAAACAATTTCGAAGGAAATGTTCACATTTTGGGTTGAATTTGAACTTTTTTTACTTTTCTTGTTTGTTGTCGTTTCTGTTGCCCAAACAAAATTCATTTGGGAAAATAAGTTTAAATATAAATTTGATTAGTCAACATCTAAATTGGAAACTGTTCAAAAAACTCAAATTTCATTTCATGTTAGAACAGTTTTTACTTTTTCTTTTCTTACTTTTGCCAATCCTTCAGGATGGAAATATATTTTTCATTCTAATGAACATTTGGACAATTATTATTACAGTAACGAATGGCAAACAAATTGATATTCCAGTTTCAGTTTATTGAAATGGAATCGACGGTAAAATTTGAAAAATAATGAGTTCAAGTCTGGCTGTCGAGTTGAATCAATTTCACTTTTTATTGATTGAAATTTCAAATTTACTTTCGATTTTCATTTTTTGTAAATTTTGTTTCTTTTCTCGCCATTTCTCTCTCGACTTTTACTGTTGACTTGATCAATTGTTGACTCGAGTTGAGATCATTTGTTACGATTAGCTGATTAAAAGTTTGCTTGGCTTATTCAATGAAACTTTCAAGATTATCGATGTTGAAGCGAAAAAAAGAAATTGTGTTTTCTTTTCTAAAAATTTAATGAATTTTTGGTTCAACCCTAAGAAAGACAAGAACGGATTAAAGGGTTACTTTGTTCACATTTTTCTTTTTCTTTTCTTCTTTACCCAATTATTCAGGTTAATCTCTTTTCGCAAGCTTTTCCAAAGTCAATCATGTTCGAAGAGAAAAAGGGAAAATTGAAGAAAATTGCAATTTCAAGTGAATCAAGAATCGAAATATATCATGAATAATAATGTAAAATCTATTGTTAGTCATCAGCAAATTGAGATTTTCTTTTCTCTGTTATTCGTTCGTAAGTTGCGATAAAATCTCTTAATCTTGTTCATGTTATTATCATGAAATGAGCTACAGTCCAAGTTAACTGTTGATTTTGTGATTCAGTTGAGCTTGATGAAACAAGTTGTGATTATGTTGAAAAAAAGTCGCAAAGTTGAAATGAAAATGATTCTGGTGAGATTGATTAAAGTGAAAGAATGGATGAAAGAAAGAAAATGTTAACCGAAAATGATTCTAATGTTGTAAATGCATTAAGCTTCATCCATTAAATATATTATATCATATGTTATACACAACAGTCGTCATGTATTATTGCTTGTTTGTTTTCACCATTTTTTTATCTCAATGAACTTCTCGTTTTTCATTCACGATTTTCACATTGAATCAAAGGATGAATCAAATGACACGGAAATTGAAAGAGATGGTAAAGTAAAGAGAAGAAGAAGAAGGCAAAAGAGCAAAAGATGTGAATGAAACTGAATACTTTGACTTGGAATGTTCATCTTGCACACTCTAATGATTTTCAAGTTTTGCTTTCCACTTTACTTGAAAGTGTCTTTAATGAGGAGAGAAGTTTAAAGTGAAGAGAAGCTTTTTTTAGTTGGTTCCAAAGGGTTGTAAAGGCAAAGAGCAAATTTTAGGTACAATTGGAAACTTGGGAATTCCAAGAAGTTCAGATTGAACCAAATTATGTTATAGCATTAAAAGGTTGTGGGAGGTTTCTGAGGTGAAACCATTTTTTAAACTTTCAGTGTTTTATCAAATAATCAATGAATCTTGAATATAATGTTACATTGTATTTTATTGTAAGTTTTGTCTCTTCAATGTTTTCTTTAAATAATCGCAAGGTTTCACCAGTTTTCAGTTTTAGTTTGTTTTCCTTTGAAAGGCTGGAAAAGTTATGAGTTAAAATGAAAATTCATGTTCGTTGGTTAGGATTACAAGTGGCTTTGTTTAGTTTTGAAATTTCTTGCGGCAATGTGATGATAGATTAAGATGAATTAGAAAAAGTTTTTGAAATATCGCGAAGTGTAACACTGTCAAAATTGTCATTAAAACGAGGTGAAATTAATTATTTGCCAACTCTAATAAGCAATGTGCAACATTGGACGGATTAAAGCTGTCAAATTGCAAGCCATGATGGTTTAAAATTAACAAAATGTATCCTAATCATCAATTCATTTTAGTCCCGTTAGAACGGGCTTTGTGCATTAGAGTTAACATAAAGATGATCAGTTTTTAAACGCAAAGATAGTTTATAAATGATTCAGAAACTTTCTCATTCGAAATCATCTCTGACTCTAATTTCTCGCAACTACTCTGCATTTATTGGATGAGAGTTGAACCAATTTTCTTTATATTTTGGTGCAAAAGATGTAACGCTTTGAAAACTTTGTACAATCAAACAAATTGCTGTTGAGTTAATTAAGTTCAATTCTCTTTGAACAAATTTCCAATCCAAGTTTTCTTAAGTTTAAGTTCATTTTGATTGCTGTGATATTTACTGTTCGCTTGACAGACTGCAGCATTAAATGATGACAAATCTTTGGTCTTTGTCGCGTCTTTCATTCCTTCAATATAACTTGTGCTTCTAGATTAGCTTAACATTTGTTTTGGCTTGTCATGAGTCAGTCAATTTGTTCTGTTATTTCGTGCAATAAATAAACCATCAAATAATTAGCAGATAAATGAACAAAACGATTCTAACAATCCTTGCAAAGACTTTAAATAACTCATCAAAACACGTCGATTCCTCGGTAAATGAGTAGTTAATTAAGGCTGAAAATCTAAACTTTTGTCATTAGATTCATAAGCCAACTTATAACAACCTTTTATCGTATTGCATTTACATTTATTTATGCAACGAAATGTAAGGTGAAACAACACTAACATGCAAACCACAAAGCTTACAAGCTTATTTTTAGTGAAATTTAAGTTTCCCGAAAACTAAATATAAAAGTGAAAGATTGTTTGCCCTTTTCAAGAGACAAAATGTTGAGCTTACAAAGGGAATACAAATTGAGCTATAAAGCATAATCAAATGCAAGACTCGACATCATGTTGGCATTTTAATAGCTTGCAAATTGTACATGAAAAAGATATTTGATTTGCTGAATGAGTCGATAGTTAACGTGAAAAATAACATGTCAATAAGTATAAAAAAAGAGTTCATTTCTATTCATTTCATCGGCAACATTTGAGAAGAAGCATTTGATAACATAAAACAGGAAACTAATTTGAAATTACAAGCATGATTCTGATTATGAAGAGTGAATTGTTGGTTTCAATGGTAAACTATTAATCAGATTAAATGAGAATCAACAAATAATGATTATATAAAGAGAGCGAGAACCAGAAAAAGAAATGTTGATGGTTGAGAAGAAGCAAGATTGATATGTCATGATATTTTCTGCCTGAAATGGGTTCAATTAATGGATAATGAAACAACCAAAGTCAACAGATAATCATGAAAATAAATGATACAATATTGATAGGACAACAATTGTCAACAACATTATCTACATTTCAAAGAAACAATCAACTGAACATTTCCTTTTCAGGATTCACCGAATTTTTCGTTTTCAAAAGAGTTGAATAGCAATGAAACTTGTAAATGCTTGACGAGTTTACCATTCAACTTGACTGATTACCATTTCTCAATTAACTCGAGTACATTCAATTGTTTTAAACTAATTAACTGTAAATTGAACATTGCTTAATTAATTGACTAATTTCTATGTTGACATTATCAATTTATGGTCAAGAGTTGAAAAGTTGAACTGGACAGAGAAAAGAATGGAAAAGATCTTTTTAATGGAAACTCATCTAATTGTTGTGTAATAAATTATACAATTAAATAAAGAGTTGATTGTTACTTCTTTTGATGGACCAAAATTAATTAAATTGTATCAATTACCCTTTCATAATTGAATTCAATTACTCAAATGGAGTCGAAATTTAATAAAAAAATTAACCCAAAGATTCGAGTTGAATGATGAAGTTTATTGCTGCAACAAGTTTATTGGTTTGCATTTTATTCAGTTTGTCAGTTTCATTACTCAATCAAAAGGCTGAAATGATGAAAGTTTGAATTTTAAATTCGGTTAAGCTTCAGTTAATTTTCACTCTATTTTTAGGTTATTCAATCCAATTAATGCAACGTTTGACTTTTCAGTTTGTCAAAGTTGGATCAAATTACATCGGTAAACATTTCAGTAGAGTTAAGGTCAATTCCTTCACTTGATCCATTCGAGTATCATTTTATAACGAATACATTTTGACCTCATTGCTTGACTCTTTTTCGAGTGAAACATTGTGAAACAACTTCGGCTATTAAGTTTCATTCTGTTTCCATTGTTAGTTGTTTCGTTAGGTTGAGGATTCTTAACAAATTGTACAGACGAATGATTTGAAAGTACTCAAAACTAACATATAATACTGATACATTTGTTTGTTTTTAAGAAGAAATAATATTCAACTCGAAATATGCTGTTTATGCTTAACTTGAGAACTTGAAGGTCTCTTTGAGAAGCTATTTTTGTCTTAATATGATGTGTAACAGAGTGGTTTTTGAGCTTAGCTTTTACACGCAAATACGCTAAGACACAAAGGTTCACGCTTTTTTCTCTGTTAACTCCTCAAAGGTTAATACGTATTAACGTTTCGCGAATTGGTCTTTGATTTGGATATAATACATTTCAGCACGCTGAATGAATAGCAAAACTTGTTCAGTTGGCTAGAGAGGT